TCGCCCTGGTCTAATGAACGAGGGGAGTGATAGAGTGGCTCTGGTGGGCACCTGGCCCTCAGCCAGGGTCAACCCACCACAACAAGGTATCCTATAACCAGACTCAAAAATAGTTTCTGAGCTTAATTAACAAATATTAGAATGAATACTAGAGAATATTACAGAGTAAAATTAAGATATTATAAGCCAGGTATGAAAAAATTATGTTCTCTTTGGTGGTCTTACTAGGCTCAGAGATAAAGGCTGACTGATTGTTGCAGGGAAAAGGCTCCGTGCCAAAGCTGGGGATGGTTTAACACGCAGACAAAACTAAAGTTGGATTGGGTGAATAATGTGAGAGGCTGAAAAGCAGTGGCAAAGCAAACTGGTGACTGCAATTTACAGGCAGCAATTTTCATTGGATCTCTTAAAATATTTCCGTTTTTAAAAAAATCTTAGCAGTGCCCCCATGCAAAAAAAAAAAAAAAAAGATTAGAGCTATCATGGTATGAGAAACAAACAGCCAGACTCTGTATTTGGACACTACCATAGATTTCCAACACTGCAAGCAGGTATCACATAAGCAGATCCACAAACAGAAATCGGTCCAACCCACCAATTATGAACTTGATTATGAAATTAATAGAGAATTTGAGATAGGTGGCCAAATGGAAGGACTAATCCAGACAAAAAAATTGTCCAGTGTTCATTATTATCTGTTCAGCAGCAATTCGGATGACAGACAGAAAGAGTAGCAACCTGAACCCCCTCCCTGCAGATTCATTATTAAAGGACAGAGTGCTGCTTCTCTCACTGTGACAAACCTTTTCTTTATGAAGGAAAGACCTTAAAAAAGGCTCAGGGTGCTAAGTATACAGCATTTTCTGAATTTCTGAAAGAGAAATTCATAGCATTATTCCAAAAATCTCAGAAATGTCACTTGTGGTGTCAGGTTTCATGTTCATAATCTCTCTGGAAATTCTCACCCTTTGCAATTCTCTTCCATTTTTATGCTATCTGGGCAATTTCAATAGTTCAAGGCCAAATTATTTCTTGAATGCTTCATGCATTTTTTTTTAATGTAACAATTTAAAAATCCCCCAAAGTAAGTTATTTGACATTGATAGTCCTTAAAAATGAAAACAAAAGTTTCTCATATGCCTATGTATTTAAGGGTTTTTGCCAAAACAAAAGATCATTATTCTGTAGAACAATGTTCTGAATCTCTAGATAGGACATCCATTATAAAAGCTGTTTTATTTTGTCATGACTCAATTAAATGTAATTAGTTTTCTCTATGAAATAAATTAAGATAATTACGGCACATATTTACTGAAATGAATGGATCATTTAGCTATAACCTAGGTTGTTACATTATTCTTTTCCAGATCCCAGACCTTTGGGGGGACAAGGAGTTTTCATATTCATGTGGTATTTTCCAGGCACACATCAACCCAATCTGTCCATTCTCAGGGCTGCCAAGGAACTGCACAGGTATGGCAGGATTCATTATTTTGTGTACTGTACTGTGCTTTGGACTGTACCAAAGGGTGAATGGAGTAAGCTCATATTTGCTTGCTAAATATTTTAAACATACCTCTAGCAAGAGCTCCTCTCGAAGTCTTAAAAGCAGAGTCAACAAAAACATTCTTCAAAATTACATCTTGGGATGTCTTTCTATAGAAAGTTCTCATTTGCAAATTTTACAAAAATTGCAGGAAAACCACATCTCAATTTCATTATTAATTGGTCTCCAGTAACGTGAAGGACAGAGGGAAACTGAGGTCTGGTGTCCTCCCAGTATTTCAGGGGAACAGGTTGTTGCTCTGTTCACTTTACCTGCATCAGAACTTGGATGAAGGGGAGAGAAAGTCTGGCTGCAACAAGATCCACATATATTTTATACATCAAAATAGTCTCTTTCCTATTTCTTGAGTTCACATCAATATTATTAAATATTCCTTCTTTCACAGAAAAAATCACAACCAGGTTTGTAAATAATCATAGAATCATAGAATGGTTTGGGTTGGAAGGGACCTCAAAGACCATCTAGTTCCAACCCCCCCACCATGGGCAGGGACACCCTCCACTAGACCACGTTGCCCAAAGCCCCATCCAACCTGGTCTTAAACACTGCCAGGGAGGGGGCAGCCACAGCTTCTCTGGGCACCCTGTTCCAGTGCCTCACCACTTTCACAGTAAAGAATTTCTTCCTAACATCTAATCTAAATCGACCCTCCTTCAGCTTAAGGCCATTACCCCTTGTCCTGTCACTACACTCCCTGATAAACAGTCCCTCACCATCTTTCCTGTAGGCCCCCGTTTAGATACTGGTACGCCGCAATTAGATCTCCCCAGAGCCTTCTTTTCTCCAGGCTGAATAATAATTTGTAATCAGCCATAGTATTGGTAAGGCTTCTATGCTACTTAATATTAACAGCTGAATTTTGATCTCTTTTACATCTAATAAAATCAATGGTATTAACAGACATATTGGTATGAGACGATTTCGCTTCATACAGACAGCTTTTCAGAAACCAATTACAATGAAGTGCCTATTAAGATGGAAACCTTTTTCTAGAAAATATTATATTTAAAATAAAGGCACATTGTAGATACATTTGAATTATTCTGCAAATCTATTTACTTTCACCATGTAACAGCCATGAGTGCCAGTGACAAATGCTGCTACTTTTATTTACTTTAGTACAGTGATTACATTTAGTTTTACTCTGAAGTCTGAATTCAAACTTCTGAACGAGCCAACCTTAGAAGACTTTGACTCAAAGAAAGATTATGCTAAAAGCTCAGACAGCGTCTCTTTGGTGGCACTGTGAATGACACAGGCTTGCTCTGCAATGAATCAAATTATGGTAAAATGGATATGGAATACAGAAAAAAAAGAAAGGAACAGGTCTGCAATTCATTTTTTAAAATACAACGGTCTTGCTGATACAAAAGCACCACAGCTG